TTTTGTATATATATGAAGCGCGAGCTGTATGCTCGAGTCTTCCTGCCTGTCGGCTGAACTCTGCTGCTCCGGGTCAGCTACATTATCTACGGTGAGTTCGTTAACTGTGCGGAGTCACTGTGGCACAGACTGCACCGCTGGTGAACAGCTGTTAGAACGGGCCGTTCAGAGCAGAGCGGCAGAGCGTGATGTGAACTGAAACGTTTTTCTGTCGCAATATCATTTAAGGAATCGTTGAGCTAGCTAGCATTGTCACTATTGTCACATTGTCACTATCTGCTAACGTTAGCTTTAGCCTTCGTTTTCTAATAGTTTTGTTCATAGGCTATAAACAGGTGGTATAAGTATGGATCTTGTACTTGAGTACAATTAGAAGTACTCAGATCTTGTACTTTAGTAGAAGTACTCAGATCTTGTACTTGAGTAAAATTAGAAGTACTCAGATCTTGTACTTTAGTAGAAGTACTCAGATCTTGTTCTTTAGTAGAAGTACTCAGATCTTGTTCTTTAGTAGAAGTACTCAGATCTTGTACTTAATTAAAGTATAGTACTCAGATCTTGTACTTGAGTAAAAGTAGAAGTACTCAGATCTTGTACTTTAGTAGAAGTAGCCTACTCAGATCTTGTAGTTTAATAAAAGTATTGTACTCAGATCTTGTACTTGAGTAAAAGTAGAAGTACTCAGATCTTGTACTTTAGTAGAAGTACTCAGATATTGTACTTAATTAAAGTATAGTAGGCCTACTCAGATCTTGTACTTGAGTAAAAGTAGAAGTACCAGAGTGTCTGTTACAGTAAAAGTCCTGCATTCAAAATGTTCCTCAAGTAAAAGTAGAAAAGTATTCTCATCAAAATATAGTGAAAGTAGCGACAGTAAAAGTAGTCACTGTGCAGATTGGTTTATTTCAGAATAATATATATGATATGTTTTATAATGATTGATCATGAAAGTGTTCTCAAAGCTGGTAAAGGTGCAGCTAGTTTGAATGACTTTGTATACTGCAGGGTAGCTGGTGGATTTACTCCAGGTGGAACTAAAGTCTGATTTAACACTTGATTATATTTCACATCATTCATCCAGATCTGTGAAGTAACTAAAGGTATTCAATACATGTAGTGGAGGAAAAGTACACCATTAACCTCTGAACTGTAGTGGAGTAGAAGTACACAGTAGCAAAACATTGAAATACTTAAATAAAGTACAAGTATCTCAAAATTGTACCCAAGTACTTGTTGAGTTTATGAACTTAGTTACTTTACACCAGTGGCTATAAAGATAGAAAGACTAAGCCTTGCACAGAGGCATTTTCAAAATGCTTAACAGTGCTGCCAAAATTATAAACTGACTGCTACACAATTAAAATAAATGCTTTTATATATTTCTATTAGATGTGACTCTTTAACGTTTCTGTAATTATTGACACTGCTGCTTTAGTTGTTCTGACTGCTAAAATCATCTGTTATTCCTCATTTTAAAGCCGATATTCCGTGGGGTCGGGGGGCTCGGGTCCTTGTCACCTTTTTCATACTTGATGCGTTTGCCTCCCTGACTACAGTTGCTTTAGCGTGTAGAAGCTAGTAAGCCTATTTGATTTGTTTTAGATAGGCACAACAGATTTCATATGCAGACCTTATTTTCCTGTTCCATGTTCAAATAAACCATTTTCAGTGGTCATTTTTTTTTGGTCATGGAAAATTAAGTAAAGGTCATTGAGAAGTCATGGAAAAGTTATTGAAAATCATTGGTGAAAAAGTGTATGAACCCTGTTCTTTGCACAGCATGAAAGAAAGGCCAAATGAATGGGCTGTGATTGTAGTATTTTTAAGCAGAGGTCAAGAATTTGTGCGGCCCTCGGAGGATGTTGAAACAATTGAAATGGCCCTTGAGAAGAAAAAGGTTCCCCACCCCTGCTCTAATGTAATGTTGTGAATCTGAGGAGACATTTTCTGCTTCACAGCTAAAGAAACAACAACTGAAGCGAAGCGTCAAAGACATGAACGTACGGAAAAGAACACTAAATCATAATTTCAGAAATAAACAAAACATGACAGAGCATTTTCAGCTAGAATGGCACTCGGACAGCTTAAAGTTAGAAGTTAAAACATCATTTCTGTATCCGCCACCGGGCTGGGATCTGCTCCAAAATGTAATTAATTGGCCATTGCTAAATGCTAACCAAGTTGAGCTTACAACTTTCCATTACTTTTGCTGTAATTACATTTTCCATGTTTCAGAGGATTAAAATGACTGCTGAGTTAGTGTCCTCACTCAAGTGGAAATAGTCATAACAATATGTCTGATTCTGTATGAGACTATGGATCTCCATTTAAAATATTGGCATTCTTTCCTTTGATAAACAATGGAAAATATACAGACTGTACAACTAGGGTTCCCAAAAACGTCAGAGTCTGGACTTTAAAAGATTTCAATACTGAAGTTGTTATCACTTTAGGCTCATTCACTTAAAGCGTTTCACAGAGGGCTGAAAAAAGAGAGAGGGAGGAAGGAGAGAGTGAGTCAGACTGTAAACACTTGGTCTGGGTGATGTTATCCAGCTGCCATGAAAAATGATCTGATGGTGAGCAAGTTCAAGTTCACCACCAAAACACACGTTATGACTAAATCAATATGAACAAACAGGCATGTATATATCAGCAGACACACAAGCACCCATATACATCACAGAGGTTGGATAGAGGTCTCTGTTTGTGATAAGTAAAGAGGCGACAAGCCAGGGGTTTACCGGATCAAGAAAATATTCATATTCATATTCACACACACACACACACACACACACACACACACACACACACACACACACACACACACACACACACACACACACACACACACACACACACACACACACACACACACACACACACACTAAAAAAAGACATTCAAAAATGTTGAACTTGTTTTTAAATGATAAAGTAGAGATATCCACATTTGATGGAGTTGGAGTCAGAAACTCAAAGGCTTTTTCCACAATGTTGCACCATCTCTTTAAAAATAACTTTCTGCCACCTCCAACTCTCTCTCTCTCACATGTTTTCTATCAATACACAATGGCTGATCGTGCCATAGTGACACACATCACTGCTACACGGTTGTTCCCAACTGTATCCCTAAAAGTTGAAAGTCATTACTTTAAAAGAAGGAGAAAAGGATTTACTTTAGGCAAGGCATTCGTTTACTGAATGAATTCTTTTTCTGGCACTTCAGCTTAAAAAGCAAGCTTTTGGTAAACATTACGCTCTCTGTGTTGCTGCTTCTCTCTGTGATATTTAGAATGTCCCTGTAGTCCCTTTGCCCCAAAAGAGAGACATGAAGAGCATTAAATAAGAGGGAACCAATGTGGTCTCATCACTATGAGTAAGGGAGGAATATTTGTACTTTCTTTCCCAAACCTTTGATGTCCGGGACGCTGGATTCTGATCCCACTCATCCCACCTCAGCACATCGGAGCCCAACACGCTACCACAGCGGGACTCATTATTAAAGTAACATGCCTGCCAGTCTGATGAGGACCTGTGTTTCATCATGCTCTCATTTGCTCCTAAAACCCATTAACCTGTTTGACGGACTGGTGCTTTGATATCTCAGCTGTAAATCTCTCTGCTTTCTAAAAGCATTATGTTTCAGGTGCTTGGCTGACTGCACGGACTAAATATAGACAATATTTAAGATTTCCCTGGAAAGGGACACACTCCAGAGGCAGGGGGGGTGTGTGTGTGTGTGTGGTGTGTGTGTGTGTGTGTGTGTGTGTGTGTGTGTGTGTGTGTGTGTGTGTGTGTGTGTGTGTGTGTGTGTGTGTTCTTGTAATTCAGGACTCATGAGGACCAAATGTACTCAGGAGGTAAGGAGAATGAGGGAAACTCAAGTAATTTAAAACAAGATGGTCACTTTTATGTGATTTTTGCTTAAGGATTCAAACTATATTCAACATGTGGCAACTACAGCTTAGTGCTAAGAGACATAACTTAAATACATAGTGGTAAAGATTACATTTACTATATGTGTGTGTCTGTGCAAAAGTATACTTGTAAATATGACAAATTGCATTTGTTTTGAAAGCAGATTCAACAATTTGATTTTAGTCCATTTTAACTGAAGCATCAAGATGTCAATCAAATGCTTTGTAAAACGTGTTTTCTTTGTTTTAAACCACACAGACTGAACCAATCACTGACTCCACATGCTAGTCCACTAATGCTCATATCCCTCATCATGCAATCAACAACAAACAGGAGTTTGTTACTCGATAATAGTAATATAGTAATAACTAAATAATAGAAAAGCCATAAAGTCTTTGTCAATCACGTCAAGTCCATTTTTATACTCCAGCATCGCAAATTTGCCTTACGGTGCTTTTCATCTGTATAGAATACTACAGCCTTTCTCCTTAGACTTACTTTGTATTGATATGTAAAAATATCCCTCCTAAACCAGCAGCATAGTTTATTATATGTGTAACTGACAGTCCAAAGTCCTGTTATCCTAAACCTACATATGTCACATTATCACCATATCTGTGCTAAAAACAGACACTTCAGAATGTATATTTAGCAGAAAATGTGAAACTGTACTGAATGAATTATGAAACAGACACTTGAGTCAAAGTATCTGTCCCTCCACCAGATTGACCCCTCCACTATTTCTACAGTATGTTAAACAAGTGCTTTAGCCATGCCTCACACTTAGATCACTACCAAACTAGTTTCCATGTAACTATAAATACATACGTGTGATGACATATATGACTTAGGCTTTGGTTTACAAGATCATCTGATCTGAACATGAGTGTATACTTGTATTTCTATCATCGTGAGGACCAGTTAGATATTTAACATGCTGGTCCTCTATGCTTCAAAGGGGTGTTAGCATTAAGGTTAGTGTACTGTTAGGCAATTGGTTGCAAAGGTTAAAGGGTTAGGGAATTAATCATAAGGGTCCTCACAAGTATAGTAGTACACATGTGTTTGTGTGTGAGTTTTACCTGTGCCCTTGTTGCGGTCCACAAAGCAGTACTTCAGCTCATATTCTTTCAGGATCTCATGGACTTCCTGGAAAGAGACAGAAAGAGAGAAACACAAGACTTGAGCTTAGAGATCAATAAATCACTGGAAAAACAAAAATTCAAAAACTTGTTAAAAGTGTACAATGGTCATGAAAACATGTTTTAATTAGTCAAGAATAGTGACAAATGACCAAAGTCATGTCTTCAAATGACATATTTAAATGACAGATTTACAGATAATACTAGTTCTATCTTCACAACCTAACGGTAATTGTATGTGATTATTCTAAATTGTTAGGTAATCTGCAGTTCATCAAGTAACTTGTTTATCAGTTAAATAAATTAGCATTTATATCTAAAGAAAATGTGCATTTAAAAATCATCATCACATACCACTGTATTGAGTCAGGAGATAAGTCAGAATATCTCATGAGTCTCATCAGTACAACGTTTAACAACAAGACAATTATTATAAACTAACCAACTGTTTTCAATATTTGTATCAGTATGCAAATATTCCTGTGCCAATTTAAGCTTAAGTACATTTTATAAAAAATGTTTTTCCTCATCTCAATGATGAAACCTTATTTTTCGTCACTTGAGAAAACTCTCTGATCGGTGACTTCCCCAATGGCAATAATTTGTCTCTAACCAGTAATTATGTTTTTTTAAAAAGTGTAATTTTAAGATGAAAAGCTTTCCGTTTCCTGATTTTTCGTCTTTTAATAAGCGTTGTCCACGATCCTGAAGACAGCTCAGCAAGAGATCCTCACATTCTCTCTCACAGAGTGACTCTACTGCACATAATTAACTGACAGCACAAAGTGTTTTTTGTATACAAATATATGCTCCTGTGATATAAGCAACCTTATGAATCCCTTTACAGTAAAAACCTGTCCAACAGTTCCAGATGTAACAGGAGCACAGTGAGTGTAGGCCCAAGGACTAAGCAACGACTTACAAAACAAAAACATCTCAAAAACTCCAGCGCTAAAACAAGACGCAAGAAACAGTCTAAACTTTGTGGACCTGGAAGGGTCACTTCAGTATAAAGAAATGATTGTTAATGGCCTACAGAGACACCATGTAATAGCCAGACTGCAGCAGTAAGATGCATCAAAGGCAGGACATTCAAACTGTTTTATCCTTCAGAGGGGGAGCACACACGCTAAATTCACCATAATCATGTCTGTGTGATGTGGACACTCTGTCCCTACTTACTTTGTCTTTCCTTCTTCCGACTACTTTTTATGTTCAGCAATAAGTCAAGGTATTTGTCCAAGCGTCTCATGTCGTTTGATAAATAAATAATCCACCAAAGAGCACATGTTCAAGTTGTATTTAAATGTGATTCAGCTATTCACCCCTCTCTCACCACACACCACTGTGTTTCTCATTTACCTTAACTGGAAAAAAGCAAAAGCAGTTGATCTCTTCACAAACACCACTTTGACACAATAAAGCACTTCCTACCGCCATTTTGTTTTCTTTTTAAGTGTAGCAGCGTTCTCTCTACATGTTCAAATAACTTAATCTTAATGAACTTTAATTATGTGAGTTTAGTTTTTTAAAACTTCAGTACGGCTCATCATTTGAACTGTTACATTTACTTGCTGCTGTTTTACCAAAACATCAGTAAAACCAAGGAGGGATAATGTACAAATCATATTACAATGTGCGTTGCCAGGCGTCTATGCATGGTCAGAATGAACCACACACCACACACACACACACACACACACACACACACACACACACACACACACACAACACACACACACACACACACAACACACACACACACACACACACACACACACACACACACACACACACACACCCACACACACCACACACACACACACCACACACACACACACACACACACACCACACACACCACACACACACCACACACACACACACACACACCACACACACCACACACACACCACACACACACACACACACCACACACACAACACACACACACACACACACACACACACTGCCTTAGCGGAGGTCTGCATTCTCTGATTGCACTTTTGGTTCCATTATGCTGCATCCAGTCTATTAAAGTTTTGAAATTGAATAAATAAATGGGAATGATTGTCATTTTCAAGAACTGGTTCAGAGCAAATCAATTGGGTTTACAAATGGGCCTGAATGTGAATAAAAATAAAATGTGAACTTATTATTATTGAAGAGGATATGGCTGTTTTGTATCCTCAGCTAATGATGCCCACATCCTGAACTTTGATTCACCATAAGCTACCGCGGGATAACGTTGTATCATTTAAATTCAAAGGACACACTGTTGCATTGTAGTTAGGATGCACTCATGGTGATGCATTGATCACCTTTCAGTGAATGAAAGTTTGACATCAAACTAATCACATCTATCACATCATTTCTACAAATACAAAAAGAAAGGGAAAACATGTCTTTCTTATTTGTAAATGTTTCGCGTTTTCTATCTCTCTAAACACCATCATCCACCAGCCCACTCTTGAACAAAGTGAGCAGGCATGTTCCATATCAGTGTAGGCCATGCCCACGCAGAGGGTCAAACTCGCCCGCTCTGTAAATCAGCGCAGGGCGAGCTGCAATCGCTGAGAGGTGCAGAGAGAGAGGGAGAGAAAAAACAGAAAAGAGGTGTTCCGTTTTTGATTTAGCTTCATAACAACTATCTTGCCACAAGGGTAGAAGTAGATTACTCTCAGGAGAGAATGAAAAGAAACGGCCTGAAATCAAAACACTGAAATACAAATCTTAAAACATTATTGGTCTGTATCTGAGATCACTCTTTACCATAGTCTCTTGAAAAACAAGTGGTAAAATATTCCTGTGCAGTCAGAATGTTTCAACCAATAGATATGGCAGAAATAAAGTAGGTTAGAATGGTTTTAAGAAGAGAGACTTTAAGGAATTAATGAAAATCAAACGATTTAGAAGATTATAGTTTTTCCCCAAGAGAGTGTTAAGGGTCTTTACAAACATTACAAAGCAAACACACACTTTTGCTATTAGGGATGGAGACAATTTAACAACAAGGCAAATGCAATAAGACTAAAATAGGATTAAACTATTTAGACCAAAGCAACCCTGTCCCAAATGTGTAGGGATTTAAGCAAAGTGGTTTTTAACTACAATTGCCAACTAAAGCGCCCTTTCTTCTTTTACATCTGCCTTTTCCGCTGTTACATGCTTCATTTCTATTTTCTTAATGTAAGTGTATCAAATGCACTGATTTCCGGAGGTTCAGAGCTTTACACCTGTATTAATTACAATTCTGACATAAAAGGTAACAGACCGAAAGAAAATCTAATTTCCTACATGCAAGAAATACTGAAGGAAGAAGCAACAAAACAAGAATTTACATTGGTATAAAGTGAAGAAAAAGAAACAAAGACATTGCCTCCAGCTTCTTCCCCCACTTAATGACAGTTATTGTTTATAGTGCACAGGATACAGACACTGACATTGCAGAGTACTTTGAGACAGTCAGCCCGGGTTGAATTAGGCCACTCAGAGTTCATTCTCTCTCTGGTGGCGCTTTATCACTCGTCCCTGTGCTATTCTATACTTAAATCCAGCTGAAAGTTTGTGAGAGCACTGGCCCATTACAAGACACTCAAAGACTATTTTTAGGAGCCCTGCTCTTCATCTCAGCCACACAATTTACCAGATGAGCATACCTTGCTGCACAGTTTTATTTATGTATGATAACAGTTTCACATCATTACCTTTTACCTTCCATGTTTTAATGACCTTTCACTTTCACTACATCCCTTCATGCTGTTCTACGATGCTGCACGCCGATTCATTGAGATTCCCGCTACGCTATTTCAACAGCTTCCTAATTAACACTGCCGTAATAGCTAAGCGACGCTCACAAGTGCTCTAAAGCAGCCACTGGGCTCCGTAAATAGACGGTGTGGGCAAACACTCGTAATGTAAACTGAAAACACACACTGCAAATCATAAAACACTAATTTTATATTTGAGGGAAATCCAGCTAAATGGCTCTTAACAGAGATGGATACAGTTACCATAAACCTTGACTTTAATCATCATTTCATTTAAAAAAGATACCTGCCCCAATGCATGAGAACTAGACAGTATGTGGGCAGAAGCAGCTGGACAAGCCATTTCCTCTATGTCAAGCTGTTCTGTAATATATAAGTGTGTTGTTCTGTTCCATGCTGTGCGATGCCCTCCTTTTGAAGCTGACATTTTCAGCAAGACCAGTCAGTACCCCAGCACCAGCCTCAAGCCCAGGGCCGATTTCTACACACACATACACACACCCACATGTTGGTGTACAAAACTGCCCTGAGAGGATGAACATGATGAGGAATGTGATAGCAGGCCGGCACCTGACACCTGGTAAGATGGAGCTCATAGGCAGAGATAGTGTAGACTAGAGGATTAGGCTTAGTGTGCTTTATATGAAACTGTCTGTAAATAGCTAATAATATTAAAAAACTTGTCTATTCCAGACTGATTAGAAATGTTATAATAAAGAATCATTAAACCTTCACTGAGGATGTCAGTGCAATCAATGCATTTTGTTGTGTCATCAGGCATTTTGTTAACATTGGACAGACAATGAAGTGAGACACATACAAACCTCTCTTTCAACATGCTTGCATTGTTTGCTAGAGAAGGCTAGTGGTCATAAAATGTAAACGCAAAGGAATGTGCAACCTGCCTTCCTCAGTGAGTTCTACTAGCCTTCTCATTCACTAAATCTCCATCCATCTCTTCTGCTGAGTCCTTATTTGTGGTAAACGAGACATTGAACTGAACTTTCACTGTCTTCAACAATCACCAGAAGATCTACTTCTTCAAGAGTACTTTCCCACCTAATGTGCTCTTTCTTTCCGACTCTGTCTATATTTTTCTCTCAAAAAAGGAATGCTTGCACTAAAATTCACCTTCAGCCTTGTGGCCCTTTCGTCAGGTGGAAAGTGGAACTGAGTGCTGCAGCACTAGTTCCTGAAGGCTTCTCTTTGTACCTTTTTGGTACGTTGCTTGGAGGGAC